CTAGCTTAGCGCCCGCGGTGCGGGCGGTGCGGGCAATGCCCGCACGTAAAAGAGCAGAGAGGCTAGTCAATCATGAACATTGTGTCAAGATCTTGATTCACTAACCACCAAACCCGCACCGGGCCACTAAGAACTGCGCATGAATGTTTTGATTTTCATATATACTGAGGAATATATGTATATATATATTTTTTTAATTCAAGTAGCGAGGGGGTGGGGCTCCGACGCCCCCCCCCCCCCCTCAGGCTTGGTTCCACATCATCCGGCAGCTAAGAAGTGCGCATAAACAATTTTTTTTCCCTAAACAATAGTCAAGAATATTATTCTTTTTTTTTTTTAACAGGGTAGGCGGGGAGCTTCTCGTTGCACTTGGATCCATAACTTGCTTCACCACCTACCAAACCCGCACCGGGCCCTTAAGAAGTGCGCATGAATGTTTTGATTTTCATATACACTAAGGAATATATGTTTTTTTTTTTTTTTTAATTCAAGTAGCAGGGGGGTGGGCCTCCGCCCCACTTCGGGCTTGGTTCCACATCATGCGGCTGCTAAGAAGTGCGTATAAACAATTTTTTTTTTCTAAATAATAGTCGAGAATGTTATTATTTTTTTTTTAAACAGGGTACGCGGGGGACTTCTCGTTGCACTTGGATCCATATCTTGCTTCACCACCCACAAAACCCGCATCGGGCCACTAAGAAGTGCGCATGAATGTTTTGATTTTCATAAATACTAAGGAATATATGTATTTTTTTTTTAATTCAAGTACCGGGGGGGAAAGCCTCCGCCCGGCTGCGTGTGACACACGGACCGCTATGACTTTTACGGGTATAGAGATAATATATATAATAATGAGTCGGTGAAAATCCGAAGAAACAGTTTGTCACAACCCCTCGTTTGTTGTCCTCTTCTCCCTCTCTGCCTATGGTTTACCGGGTAGCTCTGTTTAACGATATATAATAATATAATATATAATACATATCCTACCCCTTAAGCAGCATTGGCCGCGGGGGGAGGTCGATGGTCCGCTCCGCGCCGGACTTGGGGGTGAAGTTTTGGTGCGGGCCGGCGGATGGAGGCGATCGAGGGCGGG